ACATCAAATGCCATAAGGTGACCTCAAAGAGTTGCTAAACAAGGGGTGGGCCTGAGTGGTGGGCCATTGTATCTAACATTCTCTTTGACTCACCAGGTTTGGGGCCAATGTCACACCAGTCCCAGAACCTGCAGTCTCTGATGCTGTGGTCCCGGCTGACACTGAAGTGGACAGCAAAGCCTGGGCATGTGAGCCGAAGACTTTGCAGGGTCTCATCGATACCTATGTGGTGGAAGCCCACTTCCCAGGTCGGCAACCAGGGACATCTTTATATTTGCGCGTGGCTACCCGCAGGGACTCGACATCTGTGGCAATGACAAGCCAACAGAAGTTCAAACTCTTTTTAGCCACTAGTCCTTGACTGTTCTATCACAGTGAGGAATTAGTTGAATGATGAATGCTTGTTGGCAAATGTTTGTTGAACAATCAAACTCTGATTCCAAACTGTCAAACACATGAGGTGGCTCACAAGGAGCTCTCCGTCGATGACAAGGAGTTTTTGCTGGGGTATGGCAAATCGACTTGGATGAAGCAAGAGCGGATCATGAAGATGGAGCGTGAGAATGCTACTGGAGGCTGACTTAGTTTCTTTCGACATCACCAGCCCTTGCTCAAACACCAGTTTCTTTGTGCCTGCATCGCTCACGATCGCCATGAATTTTGCTTGGACTTTGAGCCTCAGCCGTTTCTAGTCGGCCGATAGTGATAGGCAGTCTCAGTTCTCTTTGTTGAATCATGGGAGATTCGCAGTGTGCTTCGATCTCACTGTCAGATGTGCTTGCACAGCATGGGTTTAAAGAGGAGAACTGCAGTTTGTTTGTTGTGCACTTGTCCTGAGTGGGTTAGGGTTTGTTTTGCCAATCTCTTCAATGACTCTTAAACATCATATGATTTGGATCTTGCAGGATTTGAACAAGATCTTGGATAATAGCCCTGGCCAGTTGGAGACACCTCCAGCTATCACTGTGTGCTCCCAAGACCGCTTCACATTACTCTTACCATGATTACTCTTACCATGTTTTATCAACAAGCCAAGCTAAATAGTGGTTTGTATCACCCAGGTGCCTGGGAGGAGCCCATTGTCCGCCCCGTCGCAGAAGGTAGGTTTGAAACCTGAGGGCAGGACCACTTCAGCTGCTTCTGGGAAGCCAGCATTGCCCCTGTCAGCCAAACGTGCGGGCAAACCAGGCAGCTCTGAAAGCAAAATGCCTGAGGAAACCAAGAAAGCCCTCTCACTACAGATTGAGGCAGCCCTCAACACAGTGGCTGAACCCAAAGCAAAAGCAGCCAGCAAGAGGAAAGCCAAACCGGAAAACAACGAGCAGGAGCCAGCAGCTAAGCTGAAGAAGAACAAAGCTGACAAGAAATCGGAAGCTCACAAGAAATCTGAACCTTCTGAAGTGAAAGAAGAGGCTGAGGCCGCAGCCACTGCCGAGAACAATGGTAAGTCTGGAAGGTCTGCCAAACCCAAGGGAGAAGCAAAGGCCAAGGCAAAAGCAAAGGCAAAGGCGAAGGTGAGGCCCAGTGCAAAAGCAGAGGCAAAGGCGAAGGTGAGGCCCAGTGCAAAACCAAAAGCTAAAGGCCGCGCAACGACTCGCAAACCAAAGGCCAGGGGTTCCACTGACTTTGTTGTTTCAATTCACAATAATACCACATCAATGAAGCATAATGAAGCTATTGTTTCAGCAGCAGTTTGTCCTGTGAAACCTTTCCTGTGAAAGGATTTGCAACCACTTTGTTTCAGAACACTTGGAGGTTTCAAGCACTCCCGAGGGTGAGGTGAAGGAGACAGCTGATGAGGCACAAACAATTCCACTGACTTGCAACACTTAAAGATTCCTTAGCTTCTATCTAGCAAACATTAGCAAACTGTTGGCTTTGAACACACATTGAATTCCTGTCCCAGGATCACAGCATCCTGTCCCAGGAGACTGTTCACCGCTACCCTTCACCTGAGGAAGGTGCAGTGGATTCGGATGAAGGTCTCGTTGAGAATCAGGAGCATTGCAGCCTCACAGAAACAGTGAGGTGTGTCTTCAGTGAGGGGGGGAGCTGTGTCTTCAGTGATTTGGCAGGAGGCTGGCAAGCAGAGTGGGGGACAATCTCGAGATGTCTCTATGCACACCATCTATTGGAGTGTTGTTCATGAAGCTCAAAAGCAGCTCAAGCGCAAGTTCCCTGACATGCCGGCCAAAGAGATTCTCAAGAAAGCCAAGCAAGAGCTTTCTGGCTTGAATGGTTTTTATTGTTTATATAGGTCCAATAATTTCGAAGCTATGTGAACTAGTAGGTTGGATGACATTCATTCACTGGCACAATAACCATACCCATTTGCCCTTCCTTTTTTGTGGGTGAGGTGGCAGCAACACCCAGAACGACTGAACGCGATGAAGAACATGTCCAAGTCTGAGTTGAGCCGCCGCAGATTGAAAACCCCGGCTGAGACTCAGACTCAGAGCTGAGGGAGCCTGACAAGAAAGTCAGCGGGTGATTTTGCACCAGCTCCATGTAATGTGGGGAATCTAGTCATCTAGTCTTGAGGGATTTGTTGTGGGCCTCCTTTCACACAGCAGGAACAGCTGTGTGTGGCAACACAAGCTCGTGGGAAAAACAACAAGCGAATTGTCAAGTCAGTTCACTACAAAAAGCTTGTGCCAACAGGATGCACTGGCCCTGGCAGTCAAATACACCAAGTCAAACTTTGTGCACTTACACACAACCAGGTTACAGTTATCACACTTCATGCATTGACCTGTTATTGGGCAGGTGACATCTGGGCGACCATGACCGAGTTCAGGGTCACAAGTGACGTCTTCCCGGTGGTTCTAGAGATTGCACCAGAAAGCGGAAAGACTACATCAGACAGTGAACCCTGTTCTTTGAGGAATCTCCTGCATGAATTTGAAGAGGAGGGCATAGTGGATGTCAAGATCCAAAACCACACTTTGGAGCAACCTGGAGCTGATGAAGGCAGCACCATGCAGACACGACATGCGAAGCCAAGGTCACGACATGTGGAGTGTTTGTGGTGATGCTTTGATTACATCATGCCCTATCCTACCTGCATCTCCAGGTGTGGCTGACACGTATGTGATCAAGCCTTGCAATGTGGTCCCTGTCTTTAGCTACACCCAGACCTTGGCCGGGCTCAAGTTTTCCACTGTGGCTTCTGTCTTCACGTCTGAGGCAGAGTGGAGTTGCCTTGATATCTGATGGAATTTATTATAAAAGTTGGTGACATGTTTTGACTATTGACACACCCTTTTACCACTCCTTCTACTCTATGCCGTCAGGTCATGGAGGCCAGTGTGCTTTTGAAACGAGTGTGGCGAGTCTCTTACATCAAGGCAAAGCAGGACCACTGTTTCATGATCCATTGAGCCACAGTGCATCGAGGTCACCCAATGTTCAAACTGAATCTTGCAGTCTACAATGGCTGTCCAAGAAGAGTTGAAGTTGACCCTCACTTCAACTCTCAACCCCAGCGCAAGTTCAGTAATTCATTTCACTATTGGGTAGATAAATTATATTAGCTTCTGGCTTCTCGGGAGACATTGTAGACAGCTTTGGACTAGCCAAAACCTTCTGAGCACAACACTCAGAGCGCAGCACTTTGGGAATGCATATTTAGGAAGAATGCACACCATATCACCTACGAAGGCCAACATGTCCTTTGATCCTGTGCAAAGGCTGTTTGTGTATGAAATGTGTGACCTTAATGTGTGTGTGTTTTCAACTGACCAGATCTCTGGCAGGAGATCTCGCCTAGAATCTTGGCGATGTGATTCTTGGGAATCCAGGTTTCCAGTGTGGCTGCTTGTGTCGCTTGGGGGGGAGCAATCTCAAGAAACCTTGGGTGTGCCAAGGAAAACCGCTATGGTTTCTCAAGAAGCCTTTGGAGATGGGGCCCAATGAGGCAGTGAGGCTTGTGTGAGATCATGCAGGGAGCCACTCCACAAAGAGTGCAGCATGGTCTGTGGGAGTTGTGGAGCCACTCCACAGAGGGTGGACAGTTTTTGGCGAGGGGGTGGGGCTTGGTCAAACTCAAAACTTAGTCAGAAAAGTCTCTTGCAGCTCTCATTGTGTTTTACAATAGAAAGCAACAAACAAAACCTGCGCAATCCAAACAATGTGTCAGCCTATATATACAGGTTGTGCTACACCCCAAGAAAAAAATGATCTTGACAGATCGGACTCAAACACCTCAATCAGGAGCCTCGACGCATGAAAAAAAGGAGTGCATAGTCAGTGCAATCACAGAGGGTGCTGCGTATGATGTCTCACAAAGGTTGTGAGTTGTGAGTGTGTTGTGATGTTGTGTTGTGGGTAGATAAATAGGTCCATGTCTGAATCCACCTCTCGATTAAAATGAAATGAACCTCGAATAAAATGAAATGTACTTATATATATACTTATCTCATTTCATCATAGGATGTCTCGCATGCCTCACCAGGCAACAAAACCATTTTGTTTTTATTTGTGGCGCGCAAAGTTCTATTTTTGGGTTTATTGAACATGCCAGGTAGGAGAGCCGCCAAGCCGAACCTGGGCATGACTCTACTAAATCAACCTGCGACAAATGATTTACATTGCATTGCACTACAGTGTTACACTCTAATATATGGTTTTGCTGACTGTTGATAAACCAAAGTCTCCCAAGGTGTCTACTGTACCTAGATGATCAACCAAACTGTGTTAAACCCAAACCGGGGGTCCACACGGGGGTGTTATGCATCAAGTGGTTATTTCATGTTGAACTGCATGAACTGTGTTTTTGTTAAAACGTTTTCACAACTGAACCGACCAAAACAAAACCAAAACAACCAATTGGAAGAGTCAACCTTATCATTCTTGGTGTTTTTCTCCCCACCTTGATTCACTGGGCCCAAACATGGACCACATCCCCAACAATGACGACGCTTTGGCCTCCGACTCCGCGCGAAGCCGACTAGCTACGACTCCCCGGCCGGGACCTCGTCGCGTAGCTCGTCGTGGCCGAGGCCTGTCGGATGTGATGATCCATGCGCTGGCACCTCCAAGCCCTGCAGCCTACTGTGATCGTTCCACGGCCGGTGGGTTCCGGAGGGTGGAGGCACCGGAGGGGGGACCCGGTTCGGTGAGGGGGGCCGTGAACCGGCAAGAGGGAGGGTCCAAGGAGTATCTGGATAGTATCCACATGAAGCAGGGAGCCGGAACGCGGAGCGACCACGTCCCCAAGCCCTGGCTAGTTTGATCTTTATTAGTTTAGCCTGGAATGGTCAACTTTTTGGCCTTGGAAGGCTAGGGTACCAGTACCATGGCTACCTTTGTTGACTATACATGTGTGCTAGCCCGCATGTATTTTGTTGAAACCCTTGTTCGGACTCGGATCATGTTTGTCCGTGTTGTTTAGTTGTTTATGTTCATGCCAAGTCGCCTGGGCTCTCAGGTTTGGCCTCCTGTCGCAAACTGGCCATCACCCTCATTGACTTCAAGATGGTAGATGGCGTCGAGAGGAACGGGGCCGCCTTTGGGTCTGGGATAGATGGACTAAAGCTAAGACAGATCGAGGTGGAGGGTGTGCGAGACTCCTGAAGCAATATTTAAGCCGCCAGTGATGCAAATGTTCAATAGCAAGTAAGTACCTGAGGTCCGTTGAGAGGTGCTGGGTGATAAGAGCTACTGGAAAACAAGCCAAGCTAGATGGAGACGATGTACAACAACACTAGACCTTCTCGATCGGATCAAGTGACTTGTTGGTGCCGACAGTGCCTTTTGTCCACCTCAGAATGTTTGCTGGTTTGAGGGCCGAGCATTTGGAGACGGGAATGTGCCGTGAAACGGTATCGGAGACGGCTTAGCTGTCCCATCTTCAAAGTTCATTTGCGCTTCTACGTGCCACGTGACCTTTGCCAGCGCAGAAGCTGTTGTGCGACCTTTGCCAGCTATAGCCGATCGATATAGACATGTCACACCTTCTCAAGATGTATAATAGTAGTGCCAACCCAAGGACCTTGGTCGAACACTAAACTTATCATAACTAAACTAGGCTGCTAGGCTCAGTCCACCAGGCTGAACAGCGCCTGGTTGGATTTCGTCAGCGACGCTCACGAGCTGCTGCGGGGTGACGATGCTCGCCGGCTACGAGCGATGCGCAGGCAGGGGGGACGAGCTCCACACCGGCCATTCAATCACCGTACCTGAGAAGGTACGACTGGATCCCTAGAAAAATGCATCGATTTGGGCCGTTGAGGAGTCGATGCATGGCGGAGGTTCGTCGACTTCGTTCTGCTTCCGACGTCTCCCGCGGGGGGGGGGGGGGGGAAATGTGGACTCCAAAACAAGATGGAGATCCTATGAGGTCCTTAGAGTGACCGCCGTCCATCGATCGGTCGATGGATCTTGTTGAACTCAAGATCTAATATGATTGTTGGATCATTGGCCTCGTTTCGGGTCGTGTTGAGGAACACCAGTTCTACCCGAATGCGGCTCCAACATGGCAGATTTCAATACGTTTTGCCTTGTCAGGGGGCCCTCGGGGCATGCCCCCCCCCCCACGTTGTGTGTCGCCACCCTTGGTGTCGAATCTCGAGAAATCTCGAGAAAAAGGAAGACTGGGACATACCGGGACTAATTCCCTATAGGGCTCCTGGCCCACCTCCGTTTCGAAGATGGGCCAGGGGTGGGTGGGTTTGGGGGGTCGAATGCCACCGAACCTGATGAGATGGTGAAGTCGCCCTAGGCCCTAGGGATTGCAAGCTATAAATTCTTGGGACCACTTGCCCACGCCACCAAGTGCGGTATCGCCTGGTTTCGCAGGCTCGAGCGTCATGGCTACACCAAGATGCCACTTGGGCTATCACTCTCAGTGGGCTGGGTGGCACACCTGGAAGTCACAGTGACCAACGGCGCAAGTCCTGAGACGGAGGGGCTTGGTTTGCCATCGACTTTGGCCGGACAGGGTGGATGGATGGGCTTAGGGCCTTAGGGATGTTTCGGGTCCAAGGATGTCCAAGGTACAAGGGAGTTGGTCTCTTTCGCAGTGTTTGTCCATGCCCTTGAGATGACACTGTCAGCATTCAGCATCTATCAGCTTCGAGCACTTTCTCAAGCAACGTGCTTGGAAGGAAGAGCTTTGTTGATTTACTGCACCAGCTGGCAGCAAAGCACAGCCTGTGGTGGCTATTGTCACCTCCCAAAAGTGCAGCGAAAGGGAATCCGAGAATCATGTCTTTGCGTGGGGTTCTAGTCTAGCCATCCTTCACGAAGAGGAACATCTCGCTCATGTGTTCCGGAAGACTGACATACCAGGCCTGAAGCAGTCAGGCTGTCAGACATGATGTACGGCATCCGTAACGTGACGTAGTCAGTCAGGGCTCCAGCCCCACGCCTTGACTTGACCTCAGGTCAGAGTCCTTCCAAGAGGAGATGGCATGCCTTCCGGGCTCAACGGGGTTCGGCCCATTCCTGTGGGTCTTTTAGGGGGGGGGGCAATTCTCGGCGGTTGTTGAAGGCCGTTGGTGAAGGCCTTCCGAAGGCATAGGAGTTGGGACACATGGCACCCTTTTTTCTGTGATGTCGATCGATTTCAGTCATGTTTTGGAAGCATCGAGATCCTCCTACAAGGCTTTGCGCGATGATTTGTCCCGGTGCGTGTGCGATACGCGCGGGTGCGTGAAATCGGCAGCCAGGACTTCCAGTCGCAGGAGGATGAGAGTCTTGGCAGAAGGAACCAGCCCAGCACGCCCCAATCCGGAAGCCCGTCATCACTGTCATTTGTGTGGCCTCCTCCACTGCAATGATCGAACATTCCTGTCGAACACAACGAGTTCAAGACATGACAAGACTCAAGGCCTATGATGAAGGGTTTAAGGCTTACAGTTTACATAAACGGATATGATTCGATATGAAATAAAAACAACAAATAGGACCGTGTCCATGCCCGTGCTGCCAGTATAGGGTACGCCCTAGTAGGTGGGCATCGCAGCATCGCGTCATGTTGTGCAAAGGGAGGCCCTAAAAGACCCCTTGAAGAGGAATGATCAACACCAAAATCATCAAGCAATTCTATCCTATTCCCAACGCTTATATGCCTACATTGATCCCAGAAGCCACCCTCACCTCAACGCATGGAAGACCACTCCAGATGACGAGGCTTCGAAAGAATGGATTTTTCCTCAGACTTGGTCCCGATGGTTGAGGATTTGAGGAAAGTCCACCAAGTTATGTTAGTTGTGAAAGATCTATAGCTGCCTTAGAAGCTTAACTGCCTGAAGTAATTTGACCTTTTGATACCTTTTGAACTTGTTCTACTCCTGGAGTTGCTGGGGCAGTTTGCCAAAGAATTCAGAGATCCAAGTTCGATTCTTTTTCATGGGGGGTTGGGGTTCATGTCCTCCCAAATGATCTTGGGAAGTGGAGACTTTGATTGGATGCCCTTGGCCTTTGGCCTCCAATCGACTTTATTCATTGAGAAGTTTGGGTCTTTTCAGCTCAGTTCCCGAGGCCGCCCCATGGTGTGATTCGGCGTGTTTCATCCGGTTTCATGATGCGATGGTGCATCTCAAAGGGGGACGACCAAGTCATGGTCATGGATGACCGACCTGGATTTAGAGATTCAGAATGCAGACATGTTCCAAAAAGCATGGATGGCCGCCAGATGGATTTGGATTTGGCAAGCTACGGGAAGCGAATCCAAAGGCTCGCCCGGCTCGCACCGAGGTTAGTTTGGCAGGCTGGAATTGCAGAGTCTGACACAGAGTTGATTTTTGATCGTGGCGTGTAGGGAGGGTGGGTTTTGCAGGACGAAGATCAGAAACATACCTGTATCATTTGTTATCCTTTGTTGCAATTTCAGTCAGTCTGGTGAAGAAACCTTGAAATGTTGTTGTTGTTGTTTTTTTTTTTTGTGATTAATATGTTCCAATAATGTTGATTTGCCATGATTTGCCATTGTTCTTTCTGGCATTCTTCCTGTAAACTGGCCCATGCAAGCAGATCGGCCAAAACAGCGCTAAGAAGTGTCGGGATGCGGCCGCACGCTGGACACTGTGGTCTCGCTGAGCCTTCGATTGGACGCAGAAGTGATGAGTTGGGCACGTTTGTTCTCACAGGTATGGGTTTCACAGGCCCAGCTCCAAATGGGACGAGAACTGAGTCAAGAACCACTGAAATTCAGATTCACCTCGACTCCATATTTGAGGACATTTTAGTCTATAGCAAGCTAAAGAAGGTTTGGCAAATAGAGGATCACCCCAACCACTTCAGCTAGGCTGGCGCCCATGTTTGCAGGTGCAGCGGAGCCTGCAGCGGCCCCTGCCCCGGCTGAGGCGCCTGAGGTGCGCCCCCTTCAGGGGCAGGGCTCGAAGACTCAGTTTTTGACATGGACATGTGTGCTGAAGGGTCCAGGAAGAATGGTCGTCCAAATGGTCCTGTGATCCACAATGGCATCCACATCTTCAGGACGAAGCACGGCAGCTCTTGCCCAATGGATCAAAATCCAAGCACGGCCCAGGCTTCAGGATCCCAAAGTGGCCAGCATCAGCTGAACCTGTTGATGTTTGGAACCGGCCTTCACCACCCAACTCGCCCGGTGTGTCGAACGGAGAACGCCAAAAGAGGGGTTCTCCCACAGTCTGCGATGCAAGTCCTGAAGCGAGTATCATGACTGAGCTATCGTGGATCCACCTATTCCAGAACCGGACTCTACAGGTCTCCGCTGGTAGCTTTTGGACACTTCAAAGTCGCAGGTGGTGACCTGTTGGAGGGTGCTGGCAGTGGTGCTGGTATAGTGGATCTTAGTGGCTTCAAATGCCTAGAAGCAAAGGGTATAGACTCAACGGGATCCACCGAGTATTTGACAGTGCTGCTAGTGAAGGTTGGAGGGTGTGTTTTGCTGGCGGGCGTTTGTTTGGGCCACAAGCAGTTCGTGGTTCTACTACTCCAGCACAAGTGAAGAGATACAAGACTGTTCACATCTTTCCACCACGACGTTCTAAGAGGTTTCTTGTTGTTTTCGGCGTTTGGGCGTTCCGAATCGTGCCATCCTTCGAATCGTGCCTTCAAACGATTCGACGTGCCGTGCCGAGCTGTTTGGGCGTGCTAAGAGCGCCTTTGTCCACAGGAGTCCACGGTGCATTGCCGAGCCTGTGGCTTTGCCACTTGCAGAACAGGGATGTTCAGGTGCCAATGTCAGGGATGTTCAGAACTTCTAGGGTCCCACATATCTCCACATGCCTCCTGAGATGTTCGGTGCGTTGGGAATGTTTGGGGTAGGTGAGTCCCTCCATGGTCCGAGCTTCGATTTTATCGAAATCATGCAAAGTAATTTCGCCCCATTCGGGTGCAGAAATTTTGGGGTACGCCTCTTCATGCCTCTTCCATTGCCTGGTTTTGCTTATAGGGTGTTTTTTAATGTTTTTTTGCGTATCCGAACTGGATCTGCAGATGCACCCGATCAGAAAACTCCCCCAAAGCCGACCCAGATGGTTAGCCAGCTCATAGTGGGATCGAAAAGGCAAGATCATCCTCCATTTGGACAAACTCCAGGAAGCTACAAAGGCGACGAAACCCCTCGCATCATCGAAGACAAGAAACACATGAAATCAGATGAAATCCGATCACTATAAACATGAAACCCCAGTTTGGTGCCATCCAATTGCATGTTACTCTGAGGGAGGGTCATGTTTTGTGACTAGACTATATATAGTGTTTCTTTGGGATTGGTGACTCCTTGAAGCCTAAACACGCTTATGTCAGCAGCGTCAACTGATGACAACCGCTGCTTCATTGGTCTGTGAGCTTGTAGAATGAGTTAGTTTACCTTGGCCTCCAAATATTCAGCTACTCTCCCTCAAGTGAAGCGCTAGTGGCGATTGTGGCGTTGGCCCTGCGGAGTGCTCATGGCGAAGCTTCTCTATCGCTGGACTTTCATCGATGAAGAGCGCACCTCGATGGTTCCCAGTCTGCCACGTGTCCAGAGCTGCCCAAATTTGGTCCATCGTTGCGACTGTCCAGATTGGCAGAGCCAAATCCAGGCTGGACGGGTCGGTCGTCTCGACGGATCCGGCCGCTGTTGAACAGCTCATGCCGCCGGACGGACGGGGCGGAAGGGCGGAGGAGCCCCACCTGTGCATCCAAGATCATCCAATATCCGGGTCAGCATACACTGCAATGTGTTGACAGTGTTGATTTTCAAGTGTTCACTTGAGCCTGCCAGAGAAAGCTCAGTTGGAAGTACCCAAAAACAACGCTTCCATGAGAGTGGCTGAAACAACCATGTTTTCCAGCACCCAGTTGTGCTTCAGACTGTGCTTCAGCAGGAAAAACCTTGGATCAAGAATAGACTTTGCTTAAGACCCAGAGGTTTCGTTTGGATCGCGACCGGAATGACCGGTGGGACCTTGATCTCCCATGATCCCGCAACAGCGCTCCAAGGTGAGGACCTTGTGTGAGCGCTCCAAGCACATCGGTGATGAGACACAGGGGACTCTGAAGTTTCCAAAACCAGGTGCGACGTGTCGTTTCTGGCAACGCCGGACCGTTCCAGGTGGCAGTTCGGATCAGTGTTTGGAGCCCAGCCCACCTAGATTCAAAGTTTAGATCCTTGAATCATCTTGAATCCATTGTCATGTCCTCCTCGTCTTTCCAGATGATAGGTGGCATCAGATCGTCCCACGGACCCGATCCAATTTAGTTCCGAATTGCACGGATTGAAGATCGCACGGTTGCGAAATGAGTTTTCCATTTGTTATCATTTGTTCAATCACTTTCGGACTGGGGACAATCTTCAATCCTGCAATCCTGGAAGTTGGAGAAGAGTTGAGACTCTTTGTTGCTGTGGCGCCAATGATGTCAGCAACCCATAGCGACAATTAATTGCTTCGATATATTGAGATTGCTTCGTGGGTGTGAGATTTACTTAACTACCCACTTCGCGGGTGGAGCTCGCAACGAGAAGCTAACCGGGCGCTTGCCCGAAGCAACCGGCATCCGGAAGCAACCCACCAACCCGGAAACATCCAAACAAACTCGCTCCCTGAAAAGCTTACTATGGCACCCATGAACAGCTTGAGGATCTTGAGGCGTGCTATAGGATGCTATAGGCAAAAAAAACTGCTTAGTGGAGAGCTGCAATGTTTGTTTCGGTTTAGTAACCGCCCCCGAACAATCTGAAGAAGCCCAAAAACCGACAATTGTTGCAATCGATTTATCAGCTACTTGTAGGAGGTTTTTTGGGAAGTCGTATTCTCATATGTGAGGCGGTCCTCAGGGTACGGATGCCATTGAACCATAGCATACTAGTGTCAGGATCGGGTGCCCCACAGTCGAGCCAACGTTGGACGAGAATCGAGAATCGAGCGATGAACAGGGGCCCCGCCGGGGTTCGGGAGTTGACACGTCGAGGTTCCTACAGAAAAGCGGCCAATAAGAGGCTGACAAAAAGTGGCCCAGCTTCTTCAGTCGACCCCTTAAAGGGGGTCACCACATCACTGGTCGCAGAAAACATCACTGGTCAAACTCCACGGTCTGAGCGCTCTAAAAAGAATTCATCAGGCATCGCATCACTGTTCACCACATGATAAATCACCACACTCTCAATACTCTCCCTGAAATCATCATGAAAGTGGATGGCACCACCTGTTTGGTATTCGGATTTCATGGTAAGGCCCATGCCATCCACGTAACCATGATGATCATGACAGCACCACAGCACCACAGCACCTCAGCCTATTGGGGAATGTTAGAAATCAGTCCCTCAACTACTGTATTGAATGTGTGCGGCTGCAAATGGCATACGAGAAACCACATCTGTAGTTTTGGCGCAGAACTCAATGGAATTTTATGGAGTTTCTGTTCTGCAATATTGTATTGCTCTCCGCCTTCAACGCTTTTGCCTTTTAAAAACCAGAGGTTGGCAGTGGAAAGGCTTAAAAAGAACTCTCCCACATGGACAGATCGCAGAGCCACAAAAGTTGCACATGCAACAGTGTAACAAAAAATAGTTTGTGATTAAAGAGCTGCCAAAAGTCTGATGTTGAGCAAAAAAAATATAATATATATATATATATTAAGTCAGGAAGAACTACTGACATCGACATCTTTCATGGGAGGATGATGGCCCGAATGCATATCTCAGTCTTTGGGCCTCTTTCAGGCCCAACACGGGCTCTCGTCTCCCATGAAGAGCTTCTTCCTAACGTCGGCGGATTATATTCGGATGCGGTTGAGAAAAATTACTGTGCCAAGTAGTTCGTAGGCCCGACCGGGAGGTTGGAATGGTTGGTGATTCGATGGCTGAAGCACCGAGCCGAGCCGAGCGGAGCGTCACCGCCGAGCCGTGCCGAGCGGAGTCCAGGTGCATCGCAAGGAAGCCACGGACATCCGGACCTCTGCCGTCGGCCATGCATTCTATTTCTTCATGGCCAATGTCAAGAGGTGGGAATGCCGCTTCCGTCGGTTTGCTTCGATCCGCCGAAGGTTCCCAAAAACAACCTGCAGTGGTTTATGACACCGTGTTGCGCCGCTTCGCGACATGAAATCCTACCTTTGTTGATCGGCTGAACGATGAGAACCCGACAGCGACCGTGACAATCGAAAAACCTGGGTTTCTTCGCATGCAGCCGGCAGCCTACTCGGGGCATGCATTATATATAATTACCAGGGAATCCAAATGTGCATTTTTTTTTGTTCAAACACCTTCGCACAAAAAATCCGTGCATCCGGCCATTTTTGTCAAATGGACAAATTTTCTGGAATTCCTTCGAATATTGGGTTTGATTGGGTTTTAAGTTTTATCAATATAATTGTTTGTTTTTTTGTCGATAAAATGTTGATAAAGTTTGGATTTCATATGGGTATGCTTTTGTACGGTATTGTTTTTCTGTCCATACGGCTAAATATGCTAATTCGTTAATTAAAATGTCCATACGATAAATTCTGTCCAAATACGGCCTTCGCACAAAAAAAAGTGTTCATACGCCTTTCCAGGTAATATATATGTGCAAACACGCGATTTCGTAGGCGCCACACTTTGTTGGGATCCTTCGACGTCCGGTCGTTCTGGTCGAAGACAGGGAGCCGACTGTGGCTTTTGCCATGCTTCACATCCTCGGCGAGTAGCTACCTTTAACAGTCATCAACGCAAAGTGCTGACCTCATGGTCAGACGTGAAGCTGCTTGAAGCTCGAAACAGAATTAATAGATTTTGCAGTATATTAACGTTTTCAGGGGCGCTTGTGGCAGAGCATTTCAGCAGCACCTCAGGATGCATTTTCTTAATGATTGGCCCAGGGCAGATACGATCAGAAACGCCTATATAATTGTTTCATATCCAAATCCTGGTGCTCCTTGCATTCCAGCCTGCCCCTCAGGAAGCTGTTCGTCCATATGTCCAAAACAAGGTGGAGGCGATCAATCATCCAGGTGCATCAGTACTCTTGGAGTTGATTGAGCGTGAGCTGGCGATTCGTGACCGCGACAACAGCAACCTGGCTTTGTTTTTTGGTTTTAAGGCGTTCTGAGCTCTTTTTCCCCACACTGCGGTATAGAAAAACAAGACAACAGACGTGATCCTGTTCAGCATTGCTAGTGATCTGAAGAAAAAAACAACAAGGTGTGATTCGCATGGATGGAGTTCCTCGCCAGATTCGCCATATTCTTGCTGGCATGAGTTTGTCAGCCTTGGTAGGCATTGTGTGCGCGAAGAGTGTGAACGGCCCTTTTCCTCAGCTCTTGAGGAAGGCCTTGATCGATTTGCGTCAGCAGGTGGCAGGATTTGAGCGTTAGCAATTGACAGATGTTGCTTCATGGCTCCATTCAGCTACATGAGGAGGACGAGGTTTCAAGCACGCGACATGCGGCCAAGTGGACTTGTGTGAGTTGTTTTGAAATGTTTTGAAAACACATCGTTTTCCATGGACACTTTGGAGTTCGACAGGCCTTCAAAACCCAGTGCCCCTCAGACCCTTCACATGGCTTCTTCTCGCGAGTCCGAGTCCTGGAAAACAACTCAACACAGGGCACTCGGCACCGAAATGCGGGCGGGTTTCAGGATGCACCTGAGGTTGTGCCGGACAGGATGCACCCTGAGGATGCACCGCCATGGAGGCGAGCCGCCCCGAGAGTTCAGTCCACTGCCCGCAGCGAACGTGGTGGTTTCCGCTGCTGTGGGGCCGCTGGGCAGGTTGGAGGAGTAAATTCTTCTCCGTGTTGGTGGCCGTTCCGATTGGAGCTGAGGTTCTCGTAGCAAAGCTCGGTCACTTGCCGAAGTCATGACGTGCATGGATATGTTGGCAAAGCCTTGGCAGCCAGGGTTTTTGGGGTGTCCCCCCTTCCTAGAAGCCAAGAGGTGGAAAGCTTCGGTACCTTCAATTGGGTTCTCGCTGCGGTCAGCTCGCCTGAACGGAACGCGACCTTCAGAACGCTGCAGTCCAGTCTGGCCAGACCCCGTGTGAGCCGAGTGTGAGTGGGTCTTACAGCAGGTAGGGTTCGGAACCAACAGGGAGTCTAGTTTTGTTAGATAGAACAAGCTCACACCAAGAGGCTGAGTGCTGAGTTCTGGCTCATTTTGTGCAGACCTGGTTGCTTGTTAGGCGATTTGTGCACTGCTTTCGCAGGAGCAAAAACTCTTAGATCCAAAGATGGGCGCCCAACGCAGCCAGTCACTGCACTCGGTTTAAAGTTTAAAGTTGCACTCGGTTTAAAGTTGTTTGAACAATTCGAGTTGCATAGGCTGTGACTGTGACCAGCAAGAATTGAATTGAGTGAACAACAATGGGGGGGAGAAGTAGTAACTGGATTCATTCCCCCTGCAATGATGGAGCCCGGTCCAAGAATTACATTTGAGAAAAGGATGCCAAAGAAAAAGGATACTAAGCGGAAATCAACCAGAAACCACGTGAAATCTTTCAAGAGTCCTTTTGGTGTCCATCAATAGGGAAGAATATGAGATATATATCATAGTATATATATATCATTGTATATCAAATAATGCCACTCCATGGTTCCAGGGTGCCCACTGAGTTCCCCTCTCCTAACTATAATGTGGGCAATCCTTTGGTACAGGGTCTTTCTTTGTTTTGGGCCCCGTCACTCGTTCGTGCTTGCACTCCAGGTATTGCTGTCCGCTCCCACACCTATACTCCGACTATCAGCAAGTTGTTTGTCTAGGCTATGGGTTCTTAAACGAGTTCATGGAATGGATGTTGAAAAAGGAAAGGGAATGCACGCTTCCCTTGAATGAATAGTTGGCCAAGCATTCGATCGAGCAAGGAAGAGCCTTTACACTTTATGATTCCACACACAACTAGCAGCTACAGGCTATACAGGGTAAGGAAATGTGTTGTGAGCACTTGCTCAAAATTGAGTTTCAATATCAAGGACCAAACAACCAGCATGCAGAAACCGTACTGCTGAGAAGTCATGTCGAAAAGTGAGTTTCCTACAACTCTTGCGGAGATGGCAGGTTGAGAGTGTATTTTTCCTTTGCAGTGCAGTCATAGCAGATTGGATAGAAATTAACCCCCAGAAGTGCCGATGTAACTGAGGGGGTATAGCGCATCTTGGCTTTCTTGGCTGATGAACATGTCTTGCCAAAAGATGCTGGGATGAGTTTCAATGACAGTGTCAATAGCTGCACAAAATGGCAGGAGCAAGAACAAAGAAGAGACCTGAATAGTCAGGCATTTGGTGTGTTGTGTACTTAGTACTTCGGGACATTGTTCATCATAACAGTGATTCCGGGATTGCTGTTTGGGCCTGAGAAGCTGTTTTGTGGCACTGAAGGAGCACGTAGCTTCACAAATGATGCAGACTGAAGCATTTGCACGAAACAGATCGGGGATCTGACCTTCCAGGAGGTCGGAGTTTTGCCCACTTATGCGCGTCTTAAGTGCATGGAGTGTACACGGCAAAGTGTTGCAAGCGCAAATCGGTTCTAGGTCGTTTTCTCCAAGTTGCCACCAGTGCGACTTTGGCATGGCGACCCAACATGAGGCATGTCTCACACCAATATCCCTTGAGCTTCCACTTTAGAGTCTTGATGATATTTCCACCCCCCCTCCAGACATGGATTGTAAAACCTCTTCAGGCCTTGAGGGATCTTGGGGAGAAAAATATCATCAAGAGTCTAAAGTCTACATTTTGTCGTCAAACAGGCAAGATTCTTGCTTCTCTTGATTTTGCAAACTGGGAGTTGGTCCCCGAAACTGGTGATGTGTTCCCGGCTTCCTGGATCAAATCCAAGTTCTCATCTTCGGAAGGGTTCATTTTGGTGAGGGATGCCTAAGCGTGGAGAATGCTGGAGAGCTTCTCCTGAGTTCGCTCCATTGTTCCATGGGTTGACAGGACTGCGCCAGTGGAGAACTCAAAAAGAGCGCCTGGCCATGGGTTTGGTTAGGAGCTGCCATGGCCAGACCAAGCTGCGCTGAATGAAATTCACACTCATTACAATCCTTTCCCCCAAGAATCCTGCAGTGGAAGACCTGCAGTGTGGAGGGGATATCACAATGCTGTGATCATTAACCGACCGCCCAACCCACCAGCCACGCCGGACTTGTGAATTCGATCCCATGTGCTCCCAACAGTGTTTTTCAACACGGTGATTTTTTCAACACGGTGATCCACTGCCTTTGGCCGTCTGGCCGTGGCGTTTGTTCACTCACCACTCAAGGGGGGGTTGTTTTTCTGCGGTGTTGGTTCGCAAGACATCGGTCGTGCCATTCAACCAAAAACACGGTGATCCAAAGCATTGACCACGTAGTGGTCACTTGCCAGAACACGTAGTGATCACCAAAGGCAAGCTTATTGACGGTGGACGAATTCGATGGAAGCTCAGGTCTTTTGGAAGAAGCATGGGAGGTGGAATTCGGACGGGAGAACTGGAAGTGGAATCCTTCAAACATGATGAAACATAGGTTTAGCCCTTTTTTAGCCTGGTTTTGCTTTGAGAACCTTAGGAGGTGATGTTTTTTCTGTCCGAACTGGGTCAATCAATCCCTGAAACTGGGGAATCTTTATTTTTATGGTGTTGTTTTCCAGTTCCTGAAGCAACTCCAAGGTAGGGAAATGTTTTTCTAGTGGACAGTGACCACTTCCAAGGGATCATTGGCCGCTTTGATGGAACGTCTTCGTCCAGAGTGCCAGCAGCGGAGTCCGAAGAGCCCGCCGAATCGAGTTTAAGGTGGCGTCCTTCGGCAGCCGCTTCTGCCAACAGTGCGGCCAAGCACTGACCCAGGTGCAGCATCGGGGGGTGCGGCTGTTTGCACTGCTGTTTGGGAGGTGACACCGCTCAGGAGGGGGCCAAGGAGTGGGGGTGATGCATATTCCCCATCAAACACGGAGCCAAAGAGCTGAGAGTCCCCCAGCTCCTTTCTAGCAAAGCAGGAAGCCGTTGAGGCCTTTTGCAATTGTTTTTGTTGCAGGAGATTTTATCAAAGGAACCTTGATGGCCACGGCCCAACAGGTATTTTTGGATGAAGTAGCAGAACACAGAATAAGCAGATGAACGGGCTTTCCAGTTTGGTTTTGGTCGTTGGTGTGAAACGGGAACACCTCAAAATACAGATTCAGATGTTACGATTGACTGTTTGACCATTCTTGTCATTCAGGTAGGCGGGCAGCGGTCAACACGATATAATTAGATCGCAAAAAAGAGACATACACGACATTCTGCCAGTTATATAGGTAGGACCTTCAACCCTTGAATTGGTCATTAATCTAGTGTGTGGATACAGAACGCACCATGGTATCACATGGCTCAGTTTGCTCAATGCAGAACACGTTCCTTGGGTTCAGAACACGTTCCCCGGTCCCTACCATCAACCCCTCATGTTTGACCTTTCTGGGGCTTATCACCTCGCCCACCCAAGTCCATATCCAAGATCCAATGTGGACATGGAACCTGGAATATCAGGCATCAACATGGGAGAATCCTCCAAGCCTACTCAGGAAGAAAAACAACTCCACTCATTTAGGGACCCAAAAGGGGGTCACTTGGAAGAACCTCGGCCACACATTCTTCCGTGACTGTGAACGTCTAAGCCCTCTCGATGGTTTCTGTTTTTCTGGACCTGATCTGAGCCTGATCAATTGCAGCCACATCCAGTGAGAGTGTTTGCAACCCGAGCTTCCAGCACCACCCCGTGCGGGTGGTGATAGACCCCCCCGCTAGGTGTGACCCTCACTATCCAAGAAGCTTCCTCACAGTACGTGCTGGTTTTTCAGGGGCCCGGGCGTCTTTTTGTTTGGAATGCAATGCCATGGCGCGGATGATGGGCCTGCGGACGAGAAAGGCATAGGCCTGGGTTTTCAAGTTTTGTGGCAAGAACTGATCTCCTGTGACATGCATTCTTCGCCACCTTGAGCAGGATTCGCCACCTTGAGCAGGATTTGATGAAGCACCAATCATTGGTTGCACGGCACTTTTTTCCCACGGAAAAAACGATGGCAATTGAACGGTTCTTGAAGTTCTTGGCTTGTTTTTCCAGCAAGGAAGGCTTGAGCAGCATGGTTTGGTTGCCTTCCCAGCCAGCCGCCCACCCGTCCACATCCCACCGACGGCCGAACCGGTCGGCTAGGTCATCACTTGACAGTCGCTGATTGGCTCCAGCTTTGGATGCGCAGATCAGACCTTCACATACCTTAAACCACATGCCAGTTGCATATTCCGGTGGAATATGTTACATATCTTTGCGCTGCCATGTTACATCATTTTACGCAAGTTGTGCTGATAGGAACCGGCCTTTGCAGTGCAATGCGGATTCCAATTCCTCACTTCACATGGCGCTTTTGACGATAGCAGCGCAGGGAGAATGCCTGTAGCGGTGTTCAATATAGCAGCATTTGAACATATTTCAACATTTCTGAGATGATCACCTTAACATTGCCATCATTGTCGTACCAGCCAGGCCCTTTAGCACCATGTGGTGCTTAAATAATGAATGAGGATCTCCTGCAGCTACAGAGCAGGGGTTTCAGACTTTCAGAAGGGTTTGAGGAACTATCTAAGTTATATCCTCCTCTAAATTCTGTCCAGAAACATCCAACTAGCACAGTCCATGGCTGGGCCGTAAGGCAGAATACAAGTGTACCTGACCACCCCCTTGAAGAAAGAGCCTAGGTCGTTCGCCGTTTGGAAGGCAACTTTCCGTTTTGCGGACTGGGCGACATGTTGGCTTGAGGGAGCATGGAACACTACAGTAAAGGATGATCTTTTAGGTTTTTTCGGGCATTTTCCAGACAGTGACCCCAACCAGACACTGATCAAGGATCCACGTCGTTTCATGCGACGAACGGCAAAAGCGAGCGTGCCATGGAGCGGCGTGGTCGTTGGCAAAAGCGAGCCGGCGAAAGTGAGGAGAAGCCTGGTGACGACAGGCCCGCGGTACGTGAAGGAGCACCGCTGCGACAAAACATGGAAGTCGCCATGTGGTTTTTGAGATACACCGCCTGATATGCATTTAACATATTTAACAAATTAGAATAGTATCATTACCTACAAAACCCAAACCCTACAAAAAAGCAGGGTTCGTATGAAAACATAGGGTTTTGAGTGGAAAACCTGGTTTTCGTTTCTGGGCAGCAGCCACTTTTCTGCAGAGGTTGTTCAGGCTTCAAAATCCTTAGGCATCCTCCTTTTTAGAGGTCCTTGAGATAGCCAGCGTCCCTAAAATGTGCATGCGCTGCAATGAGGGACCTCTGCAAGGTTCTAGTGACAGCAAGTTGCACTGATACCCTTCTACTTATCCTAGAAGGGCGACCAATAAAATCTTCCTCCATGGCGCAATGAAACACTAGTGGAGAAAGGCAAACGCCAAAATGATCACATTGATCTTTCATCAAGAAACAAATTTCATGAACTCGGTGTAAGTTAGGCATAAATGGATACAGTGCTCGTTGATCTTCGAAGGCCTGCCGCGCAAGGCGTCCAAACCACCTCAAAAAGTTGAACCCATGAGTGCTGATGTCAAGCCCCTTCGGAGCAACAATCCACACACCTTCTCGGTACAACTTGGAAAAAAAGGTATTGATTTCTTCTGCTGCATGCCAGGATTTGAACAGCATCGAGTTGTTGTCTATCCTGTCACGAAACTCCCTGCAGCAATCGGCAATCCAACGACAAAAGCACAATGTTGTATTTCCCCTTGACCAGGCCCCTGCAGGAAAATCTGTATCACCAGTGTATTTAACAGTGTCTCGCGTCAGTTTGCGTATGTGAGGATATTGTTTTCGCTGCTTGCACCAGGAAAAAAATGTGCACTCATCTGCTCAAAGCGATCTGGAATTGAACTTCCCTCAAACAGCTCGTGCAGGAGCACTATGGTACTTGAAGCAAAAACTTTGCCACATCCCAAATGGAAGCCGTGGAACAAGTCTTGTCCTATAAAACTTGTTGGCTGAGCACTGCAATGAGGTAGCTGCAGCAAGACTGGATCTTGAGCGAATGGGCTTTCTAGTCCAATTGTTTGCCGCCACCTCGGACATGAAGATTCAAAATCTTCCCACGGATATCCTGGCCTGTCGGCCAGACACACATGACAAATACCCTTTGGTATGGCCTTTGAAGATGCAGCCTTCGCAACATGTCCAAAAGTCCGGGTCAGGTGAAAAGCCTTTGTCAGAAACGGCCAATCCCCCATGCAACCCATGACTACCACCCAATGTTTCTGTTGATTCAACGACATGACCCCGTTTTCGTAGATGGCGTTCGCGTCATCGGCAAAATGTTGAAGGATTCTGTCAAAAGCATCCTGGTTTCCAAGTTCTTTGTCATAGTACTCCTTGGGAAGGACTGCATGTAACCATCTGGTAGCCCACGTGTGTCCGCAGAAATTAAGGTCCTGCTTCGCATATTCAGTGGAAGCACAATGCGAAGATCCTTTACCCAAAATGGAGTGAGTGCTCAGGATCATGATCGCTCCCTTCTTCTTGGTCCTTCCTTCATCCCCATGAAGGAGGAGGCCAGCCACCCGAGACAAATCTACCTCCCCAGCATCTGCCCTTCTGAAAATGGGGTGTTGCGGCATGATTTTGCGCAGTTGTGTCCAAAACAGAGACCACTGTGCACGGCAGCGTCGATCATCGGGTTCATCAAGACCACTCAAGGTAAACCAGAGGTTCTTTGACATGATAAATTCACACAACCCAATGTGAAAGAGGCAGGATGGGCACCGTCACACCCTTCCCAATTGGCACATCTGTTAGTTGGATTGGCAAGGCCAACTCAAACTTAGCCACAACTTTATGTAGATCTCGCTCTGAATGACTCTGACTGCAGGAAGCTAAAGACTGAATGCTCGAGTTTGCAGCCTCTGGCACTTCATCTACCACTGCCTGGGCTGAAGCTATTGTCCAAGAGCATGGGGCCTTGGCCGGGCAAAAACAAACAACAACACCAACACTAATTTACGACAGGATGTGAACATATCGATCTGCACAATCCCTAAACCAACTCTGGCAGACACTGAATGAAAGATGCATGTGAGGAGTTTGCTTTTTGCACCTTCGACCCCAAGCTCCTGATTTGCGCAACAAACATAACATGAACAGAAACTGTGTCTTGCACTACCATGCAAGAGCCAACGTTGAATTACATACCACATTCATTGTGGTTTGAATTTGAAACTTCTCCACACTATGTACGTCATGTAGGATGCCTCATCTGAAATTGGATCGTTTGGGACGCTGTCACCACCAGCTCGCACATTTCGACAGCCAGGCTTGCCTGGGCGGACAAAAAAAAGCAAAAATTTAGGCATTGAATCATGATCATCATTGACAACACTGCAAGTCTTCATTTATGCGAGGCTAAGGTGCAACTAAACTTATCAATGAGCGCCGCTTCAAGCATTGCAGGGCTGAAAGGTTCATGAGATCGAAATACTACAAGCATACCTTCCCATCTTTCTCTCTCCCACCTGTAGCCATACTTTGTATTTTCCCATCTTGAGACAGGATCACAGGTGAACCCTATCTTGAAGGTACAAGGATAAAATTTGTTGAACAAAGAATTCAGAGCATTCGTTGCGTGTTTCAACACACTCCCTGATGTTGTCACACGTTTGGGCAAGGCAAAACTAATTTTGTCATGCACGAGATCAGGATGGTGGTGCGCCTCATCAACATGAACTTCAGGCAACCTAGGCCACCTGGAAGGCGATGAGGATGTGGAAAGATCCTCTTGCAAATGACACTGAACTGTCAACAAACCCTGCACGCGTTCATCTTCTCTCTGTGGGGGACGTGGCCAAGGGAAAGGACCATTTGTTACCTTGGTTGCTTCATGCACCAGCATGTCCCCACATGTCCCCACAAGAAGGGTACTGCAATCAATGTTACCAAGATACATCGCGGTGACAAGTTAAAAGATCCCAAAGCTCTTCCTCTGGACTTTCTTCCATTGCTTTCGCAATGCTTCGATCACCTACTTCATCTACTTTGAGCAAAGAGCTGCTCCGCATTTGAATGGAGGACCAAGTGCAAACCTGCTGGAGAATCCACACTGTGCCCCCGGGCTCCATCACCGACTTGGTGTGCAAACTGCCGGAGAGCTTGCCCAGGACCTGGCACAAATGCGCTGCAAGGGAACCCCTTCTATTTAACCACAACAGATCTCAACGCAAGATCACCTTTTTTGACAACTCCCTCCAAGATCAAGAATCAAGATCGATTGAACGATCTTACCCCGGAATTAGTGCTGAAACCTATGTCAGCTGTGGCACAACGAGTCAGTGGTGTCTATATGTCACACCAACTGGAAAAGAGCAGAAAGGCTGTGACCATCAAAATGGTACGTGAGACAAAGTCACTTCTTAGTTTTCTTAGCCTTCGCCTTGCGCTTCGGCTGAGCCTTTGAATCGGTCCCCGCTTCTGAGCCTTTTGGCGGGCACTTGTCGAAAAACTTCTTCGCATTCCTGGAGCCAGGAAGCATTGAAAGATACCCAAAATGCATTAATGATGACCCACAAACTTGCTAAGTTGGAGGCTTCAATTTCAACTCTGTGGCAGTTGCCTTGGCACTCCTGAGAAAACAAATTCAATATAATCCAATGGTTGATTGAACCAATGCGCATGCAAAACCATTATCGCAAGAATGAGGCGTTGACACCATCGTTGCTGTTCTCATGAATGCCTCCGCGCTTGTCCACCACCTGGATTGCATACAAAAAAGAAAACACACTTCTTGTACCCAAATAAAACTTCAATATACTTGGGAGCTTACTTTTTGGAATAGTCGTCACTCAACCCCAACGCCAACTGCTCATTCATCTTCTCATACTGCGTCTCGATCTTGTTTATGTGGTCATCGCATTCTTTGATAGGCCTAAGTCAATGTAAGTTAAAATATAAGCAAGGAAATGTAATATTGTCAATTTACATATTCATACCTCAGCTGACAGGTAAGTACCCTGCCCAGAGCAACTCCCAGCATAGTTCTTGGATAAATCCTTTTTCACAGCTCGAAGCTTGTTGGCTTTCGTCAGCAAAGACTCCAAGAAGCGCTCAACCACGGCTTTGTGCTGCAGGGGATGTGCAGCAAAAGTCAAGCAAGCATGCAAACTGGACTTGGAGAATATTCTGAAATCTGAGATTCCTTTATAGGGGCAAGCGGGCAACCTTTGGTCTTAAATTTGCTTGATTTAGTAATGCACCAAAAACACTGCCTCACTTGTGGCTTCTGCCACAGCAACTGCTTCAGCAACAGCCGTGTTGTTGCACTGTCCCGCAAAGGCATCAATTTTGGCAAAGGAATCAGCAGCAATCTGAGGACCTTCATCAGCCTGCGTGCAAGATCTCCACAGTCTGAATGCGCAAGAAAAAACTGAGAAACATCCTGCAACATATTGAACAGGACCTTAAATATCACAAGTTTGACTACTTGAAAGGCACCTTCCTCCGCGATTTGTGAGTTTCCGAGACCTCTTGGATCTCTGCATGAGTAGCGGTTTCGCGCACCACCACCCACAGCTCTTGGATACCATCATAGCGGTTTGCCCTGCACACAACCAAAAACAGGAAATCTAGATCAAGAAATTGAACAGCATTATCAGTATCATAATCACACATGCCTGCAATGAGTAGCACGATTCTTCTCACAGAACTCTCGGGCTCCCTTGATGCGAGACCTGGGAAAGGGATTGCACAACATACACCAAGATGTGGGGTTCAAGAATGCACTCAGGTACAGACGCGCTCCAACCCAACTCCTTGAGTTCAGCCTCTGAGTACCATCCTTCATCACGTGTCAGCTGGATCTTCTTGATCTTCTTGATCACCTGCTCCAGCTCGCACAGAAAAGCATCCTGCGCACAAAAATATATGAATCGAAAAGTATCCTGCTCTAAGTGATGGAGAGAAAACATGTGTCATAAAAAGAGTAGGACCTCTCCTTCGCCCAGTTGACGTCGATCAAGAGTTGAGCCAGCTCGTCTTTCGCTGCAGTCCCCTTTTCCCACTGCTCTTTAACAAACCCAGGGACAGATAAGTCAGTGCGTTTCTTCTTGGTTTGAATCATGCGCGCAATTCTTGCCTTGGCCGCGTTCCTCAACAATTCCTTGGGAGCATCACAAACGCGGGTTACACTATGTTAGACTTCTCCAAACTTAGTCTGGCGCTCGGCGCGACAAAGGACGTAGAGGCCGTTTGCGCTTCACTCCCTGCTGGTCGGCAGCCTTGGATTCACCTTGATCAGGTTCCTGCTGGTTCTCCTGACCCAGAATGAGTGATACTGGTCAACGCGGATATGGTCAACCAAGTCCTTGTTGGACAACTCGCTTGAGATCGGTGGAGGAGAGGGAACCTGTGCACAAGGTACGTATTCAACTACCACAGCAACACTGCACGTACTTCCATAAAGTAAGACTCCAACTTCAACAATGGGCTGGGTAAATTCTTCTTCCGGCTTGGCAGTTCCACCAGTGTCACCAAGATCTGCTGGTTGGGTCTCCGCCTATGAAGTTTCTGCGCAAGTGGCAGACCCAAAGAAAAGAAAAGGGCATTGGGAGTCCTGCCTCAGAGATGGCTTTCAGGGCACTGCTTGGACTGGCCAGCTTCTGCTGAAGTTCCTGATGGAAGGTCATCAATCGATCACTAAACGACAAAATTTCATAATGAATGTTAATTCAACCTAGTCCTCGAGTTCTTTCCGGATTTGAAGTTCTTCCTCACATGCTGCGTCTGCATCTGCGGTCACATGATTATAGCCATCCATCAGTGTGGAACAGCTCCAGCGGTTTGACATTGTCAGACCCGAGCAAAACTACTCCCGAAGACGAACGTACAAAACCTCTTTCTAACTCAAGTTTCTTGATTGCAGCAGCGAACACAAGTTGAAATCCACTGCACAAACTATTCATGACTATGTTTGACTCATTCCATGGATATGATATTACAACATATGCGTTTTTTTCCAAATCAACGAGCATGAGTTCCCATAAAATATTAATCTAATTGGTGCGCATCAAATTTGGGACCTTCAAAATCAGACTTGCAGCTATAGCCAAAAACCTTGCTTTTGCACGACGGGATTTTATGAGGTTTTTATGGGATTTTATGAGTTTTTTATGGGTTTTCGATGGGTTTACTAAAACTAGGTTATTCAACATTTCGTGATGTTTTATGGTGTTTTATGGGTTTTTTATGATGTTTTTACGGGTTTTTTATGGTGTTTTATGGGTTTTTGTGGTAAACCTTGCTTTTTGTTTAGCGAAAATCACCGGAATTTGATCGAAAATCACCGGATTTTGTTAAAAATTGATCGGCAACTGATTAGAAGGCTAGCTGCTCATGCCTGACCCAGGTCCAAAAAGTTGGAACCCCAACTTAGAGAGATCTCGGGATCACATTCTTCCATTCTTCAGGAATCTTCAGCCCTCGACCTCCTCTAAGGTATTCAAAAACAGACTTCAAGTCTGCGTGGTCAAACAGACCCAAGCCAGCAGTCTTATCACTGGCAAGAAAGCTCTCTCGGGCTGAAGGAATCTCAGCTGGAACTACCGGGTTTCCTTTCTTCTGCTCCTTAAAATCCTGAAACATTCCCGCTATACCTTCTGCAAATGGCAAAGGGTAGTTCCTCAGTTGGAGTTTACCAAACGAAAGCTGAACTAGACACAAGGGACAAAAGGCTGAGCAGCTGGTTCACTCCATCTAGGTGCCTATAGAGCAAACCACATGCAAGCAAGATTCTCTGTTTGTTTTAAGGCAGCGGTCCCCTTGTACCTAACAATGCCTCGAGCATCATGGTACTTGGTAGCTGTTTGCACCTTAGCGTGGCTATTGGGCTGACGAGTCAGCTTTCCACGATCGAGCCTGGTGATGGTAGCGGAGTTACTGTATGCGTACTGCCGTTTTGCTGTTTCTGCGCCCCAATGTTTCATCCACCATCCTGCTCGACGGACCTTGGACAAGCAAAGGGAACAGCTGCGTGTGGTTGGTCAAATGGATTCACAACTGTCACATAGTCTGTCACATTAAGTGGGACCTTGTTTGACACGAGACCCTGTCTGAGACCCTGTCTGCTGACACCCCATCCACTTCAATGAGTCTTGTAATCACGAAGCGAAAGCTGGGATAGAACTCAAGAACGGAATTTCCTGGCTGCTCCAGCCCAAAAACACCACCACAGGCAGCAATGAGGAGAAGAAGAAGGGATGTCCTGAGGAAAAAACATGTCACGATATGTCACGATTAGCTTTTCGACAACAAAATGACAACCTAGCCACACTTCCGGATTTCAACGAACAATCTGGAGGAACAAGGATTGTGGAGTAAAAGCAATGGCTCCTTTCAAGCATTCGATTGGCTTCCAGCACTGAGGGCATGGAACAATTTCCAGTGCTAGAGCAAGCACTGCGGGCACTCGTGCCTTTGTTCATTGATGTCCAGCTTGAACATTTTATTCCAACCCAGGCCAAGAAGTCATTTGGCTTGCACTTCAACAAGAAGATGATGCAGAGTCTCAGATCCCAAACGCATGACGACTTGCTGGACAAAATGATTATCCCTCAAGAAAACAACTCGACACAGACTCAAAAAGCACATTCATGAGATCTTAGTAGCATGAAGCCACTGCTCGAATTGATGTCCATGTAATTGGATTTGTGACCTCCGGAAGCCTTCTGGTATTTCAAGTCAAACTTAGCTCCCTTCAGCCTCAACTTGCGGATGCAAGCTGTACAATTGGCATTGCCCGCAAAAAATTCCACCCAGTCATAGTCATCCTGCGTTTACGCTGGCAGGATCGAGACCAAATGTCAGATAATGTCAGTACCACTCAGCCAGAAGTGCACTATTCTCTGGTGTTCTTCAAAAAAGTCCTTGTCCAAGTCGTAAAGACCCTTGGTGAAAACGACCAACAAGATGAGCAGAATGAAGTCCTGAGTAATGAACCCATCTGACAGTGCCGGCATTTCACCTGACCTTCCAACAACCTCAGCCTGAAACCGGTCTTGAACAACCATGGACCACTCTACCAAAAGGAGAGCCAAGCCACACTGGGGGCCCCTAGAGCACAAAGTCTCCAAACCAAGGCATCAAGGGGCATCATGGTGCGTAAATGGGCGGCTGCAAGAAAAGGTTATGTGACTACCCCAGTCTCCCCTAAGTAGATTGAAATCTGGCTAGCCTTGTTGAACGTTTGCTGCGAGTGCCCTTGACTTGATCAAAGCAACATGCGGAATGCACGAAAGGAAGAATGCAACCGGTACTCACGAGAAGCACAGACCTGACAAATCACGGCTAAACTTTGCCAGAAGTGCGTTTGGCCTTGCCCCGTCTCTGCCTAACTCTGCGAGCATGGGAGACCTTTGGGCGCAAGCTTCGACGCGCCATGTGGACCTCAGGAACGCAGGAGATGTGCCAACGTTACCCTTCAACCTTCCTGAGCAGGTCACAGGCCCAATGCCCCCCCCAAAAAAATCATTGTCTTGCTGAATCGCTCTGCAAAAGTGATATGCTTTGCCCTGCCGACACGCATAGCCGGAACACCATGGAACACCCCTGGAAATAACACTGAACTTCTCAATTCCAACTTCTACAAACAGTGAATGTCGAAAGAAACAATAATACAGATCCCAGCTGGTCGGCAAGGATATTGAAACACGAAAGACTACTGCAGAAGCTTGGCTGCTGCAGCTGAGATATTCCCCAGTGATATCATCACTTCCCTAATCACAGCTGTCTATGCAGACGGCCTCTGGTAGCACAACACCCCAACATGTTGATCGACCTTCAAAATCAAGCATCAGCTAGACTTCATTCTCCCACTGGCTCATCAGGGCTTTTCCTGCGGAGAGATATGCGTATTCCATCTCCGCCAAGGCCTCCGACGCAGGATCAGTGACCTCGTCGCAGCTCTCAATGAAGTATGCCTGCAAGGTTGGAGTCACAGCCGTGCGGACAAAAACTTAGGATGGTTCAAACCAATTATATATTGCGCACTATAGTGGTAATTGATAAACCATGATGAACCTACCGCAGAAGGGCTGGTCTGGCTGCAGCCTAAGAACGAGATGCTCTGCACAAGCGATCGCAACTAGCAGGCCCACTTGGTTCTTGGCGAAGGAAAAGTGCGCAACGTCCTGCTTCTTCCATTCACCCTCTTCGTAATACTTCATTGTGACTCCGCAATTGAATGTTTTCCAATAGATGTTGGGCCTGGCAAGGGTGTACTTCGCAAGGTTCTTCCTGATCTCTTTCTTGAAGCTCTCAGGGTCAAGCATCCAATCGATCTGCCCACACCAGTAGTCCAACTCTGCCTGCTCATTCTTGAACCAAGCCGGAATTTGCCCCCCCTCATTCTCATTGTCACTCAAAGGCACCGGCTGAACAACAAACTTCTCCTTCTTGGCTTTCTTGGACTGCTGATCAGATTTGCCAGGTTTGCGCTGAGATGGACTTGCTTTTTCCTTGGGAGGCAACTTCCCAGGCTTAGACTTGGAATCTGACTTGGAGCTCTTTGAGCGGCGCCGGCCACTTGACTTCTCTTCCTCGACATCGGACCGGCTGCGGCTCTTGAGCTTCTGCAGATTCCTTTTGCTCCGGGCACGCCCTTTGCCACGACCACGACCGCGCCCGCGGCCACCGCTCTCCTTCTTCTGGCTGCGAAGACGTAGCTGATCGCGTCGAGTGAAGACCTGCAACAATGTGGTACCATTTCAACTCTCCTAATGTCGTATTCCAATTTAAATTCAAATTTGAATACCTAATTTCACTTAAATTCCTTAATGATCTTAATGCTGCATGTCCAATGTTCAAATTATCCTCCAACCTTAGGCTATTCAAACGGCAGTGTTTCAATTTTGATTTGCCCCAAATTGTGTGTTAATTTTAATCCAGCCTCTGAAGGGGGAATGTCCTCTTCTTGCTGGGCAGCTTCGGTTTTGCGAGCAGGCACCGCATCAGGATCCATGAAAACTGTTGGTGCTGGTGACGCTGGTGGATCTGTTCCACCCAACATCTCTGTGGCAGACCCTAACGGAACGTTCTGGTACTTTGCACGCCGAGCATTGGCATCATCAGGAGAAATTGAAGGATCAGCATCCTCTGGTAGAGGGACCCTCCCAGGAGGGCTTGCCAAGTCCATGGGGACTGTCTCCAGGTTGTCAATGTTCGTCGCAGCTCGCCCGAACTCCGGTGCCAGACCTTGACTCAAAGCAACTCTCCAACACCTTCTATAAATTTCTTCCATAAGCGTCCCCCCCAACAAAAAGTTCTTTTCCGAGCCTTCATCAAATTCATGGTGGTCCATAGTAAAAAAATCATTGCTGAATATTCAGGCAGTAAACTTTTGACCACGGTTGAAGGTGCATCTGAACTGTTGTAAGCCTTCGCGGCTGCCTCCGATGCCTTCTTCCCCTTCCGATTCCTCAACCAAATGCCAGCTAGAAAAACTCAGATCTCAGTTTTGTGAAAACGTAAAAACGAGGATTCCAACATAAAAATATTGTGAGGCAAGAATCAACTCCAGTTCCTTCAACCTGCGCTGAAGCTCTTCAACTCGAGAATGCATTTGGTCCTTTGTGACCGTGGAAGCTGCGGTACCTTAGCCACAAAAGGTTTCTTTGGTGGACGAGAATATACTGTTTGATGGAGCTACATGCATGAAGCCTGCCGCAATTGAAAAACATCTTTCACCACCCCTTCAATGCTTGAAAGGTGCTCGTAGTTGAAGCTGACATGGTTGAGGGCTGAAGCAAAGGTTGAGGAGTCAAAACCGCTGACGAACTGCTATCAGGCACTTGACTGTCATGTTCCATGATTGGCGCAGGGGTGGATGGTTCACCAAAGATTGGTGTGTCAAGCACTTCCACGGAATCACGAGGAGCGCTATCCTTCAGGCTTGATTTTGTTTAAATCCAACAGCCCCAAAACCAAAGAGACATGAACATATCTTGAAAATGTAAAACCCCACACTTCAAAGCATAAACATTCTCAATCGATCTCATATTATTGTTTGTGCGTCAATCCCACTCCTCAACCAAAACGACAGCTTTTTCTCCACCTTCCTCACCAGCCACTTCTTCACCACCAGCTGCTGCTGCCTCCTCCGCTGCTTTGGCCTCCTTCTTGTTATTGTTGACCCACTCGCAAAGGTCCTGACTAGCAAACATCATCCCATTTTTTAAAAAAACATGGCATGATATGGCATGCAAACAAATATAGAACACCTCTCCTGTACTAAGCTGAAATTTTGGCAGTAACTTTGACAAGGACCAGTCCTCCAAAGAAGGATCGAGAAGCAGGCACAGTGACTGGAATTCCACTACCTTAACCGCAGCAGCAATGAGAGACTTGAAGCACAGTCAAGAAGAAGACCCAAATACATCCAAATACTACGCATTTCTTTGGAGCAAGAAAATCGTAGGTGGCACCAAACGATGAAAACTTACTGTAATTTGATCCAAAGTGCAGTACTCACTTCCCTTCGTTGCGCCTTCATTTTGACAAATCTGAGCATTTTACGGATGTCCCAGCTCGCGTCATCAATCACATCTTCTGTGGCAGTAATCTGGTTGAGTGAGAAAAGCGTGCTGACGCATTCACGCAACTGTTCGATCTCAGGCAAGCGGGTGCCTGCTCCCACTTGCAAAAGAACTGGTGAAATCAAGTCAGCATTTGCCACACACTTTGGGATTTTCACATCATGGTCTGAGAGGCCAATGAGTGGTTTTTGATTCCGCAACTTGTCCCTGATATTAGGACAGGCATCCCACTCTACTGACAACTGGTTCGAATCAAAGCGAGATTTGTTTACCCCGTCATCCACAGAGCCAGAGGACATGCTTGCTACGGCTACGTGGCAAGGTGCACAACTAACCAGCTTGATGCTCCAAAACCTGAAGTCTTCAAAATCTAAGCGTCACACCATGATGTACCAACAGAATGCGTGAAATCAAGAAACTAGAAATTCATTTTCCAAATGTCGGTGGTCTCATGGTGAGGATTTGTCTTAAAGCTAAATTGACACTCTTGTGTGCTAATGAAAAGTGTTGCTGATGCTTCCCTTGAGGCCCAGGCCCCGCTCCGGAGTGTCCGCTCATAGGTTCCACCGCCGCTTTGCGGCGCTACGCTTCAAGAAAGCGCTTCGGAACAACAACAAACCCTCTAAAAGCAAGGTTTTAGCCAAAAACCTGGTTTTTTCATCAATAACCTAGTTTTTCTTGAAGAATTCAAAAAAAACAGGTTTTTGACACAAACCTTACTTTTTTCTAAGGTTTAGGTTTCCAAGGTACATAATATGTTTTAAAGAATATGTACTATCACATGAATACTTATCATGGGGATTTGGCGGTTTTGAGGGGCATCCTGAGTCTGACCCCATGTCGCATGTTGAAGATGGGGCTTAAGCGGCTGTGACCAGTGACGACCCAGGCATGCCTTCAGCCGAGAAGGCTCAGACTCGGAGGGTGGCTTCGCTGAAGGAGCTGGATTGGCGCTGGGAGGAAGCGATGCAACATACTGTATGTACTTGGTGGGTAGTGGCACATGCTACTCTCGGCCCAGTGTGTTCTATTTCTTCAGATGGACTTATAATTATACCCAACACTTGGACCTATAAACGACCTGCTATGTCAGTCGGAGGAGAATTTACTGTACTTTCTTAAGAATCAAGTAATGATCCATTTACTGCTAAGTCTCGTCAAACTGGTCCACGAGTTGCAAGGGGGGGGACCCAAACACGTTTTGGACACCTTTCGAGGGGGGTGACCGACGATTTCCTGGCAGCTTCGCTTCGCCAACGCTTGAGGCTTCTGGGACGAGCTCCCACCTGCGCCCGCTGCCGCTACAGTCGCCCCGGTGATGCCGGTCGTGCGGCCGCTGGAGCCGGTCATGGCCAGAGGCCCTAAGGTCACGCAGAAGCAACGGATGCCTGACATCGGGGGGGTGCAAACAAAGTCCGGCGAAGGGACTGGAGAGTCGAGGGTATGGAAGGTGAGCTGGGTGAACATGATAGAAATCGGCTATACAGATTCCCTGGAAGAGTTTGGAAGACCTTGATCATACATGATGGAACTGCCAGAGGCTGCTAAGTTTTAACATGGTTCCACAGGAAATTACCGTGTACTTGTCCAGACATGTGCTGATGCACCAGCGTGCGGCCAGTGTATGCCGGTGCGTTTAACAACTGCCGTGTGCCACAACAAGTGCAACCAGGCCAGACTTGTGTGCAGTGGAGACCGCACTCCTTGCCCTGAGAGAGAGTCATTTTGACTAACAAAAGAATGGTCTGACGAGGTGCCCCGAGTTCAGGAAGATTCCTTTCCCAGGCACTCCATGGGACTGTCATATTGACCGATCAGGCGAGGGGTGGTGCCCTCTAGGGGTCTGTCTGGGGCGGCAGTCCTATGGCAGTCCCATGGAGCGTTTGGGTTTACTTCCATGGGTCAATAGATCGGTTTTTGGTTCGCCGCCATGTGCAGGGGCCTCGCCACTCCTCGCCTCTCGACCTGAGGAAGTTACCTGCAGGACCAGAGCGACACGAACAGACGACCGAGGTGGGGACGAAACTGGATGAAGCGCGGAACTGTTGACTTGCAGCATAAAGAGCCCCAAATAGATACTGGAACGGTTTCCAATACATGATTAGTGGGGATATACTTTTTCTATTTGGAGATATTTGGAGTGTGTTTTTTTTGGAACTGTAACTGAGCAATCGTTTTTTCGTTTGAGATTTTGAGATGCCTGGCCCATGCAGGTCTCCGAAGACCTGCAGGGACGGTTTATCGACGTTCCCCGCCATCGTTCTGTGGGACTACGCGTTTGCAGTTCCATATCAGGAACAGGTCCTGCCTTTCACAGGTGTGATTGATACGGTATCATAGTATCACTATCACTAGTAATTTTAAGGCCATCGCTAATGAATGGGGTTGGAGGCCATCGCTAGTAGTTTTGAGGCCATCGCTAATCGGGTTTGATTGAGAGGGGTGTGATATAGTGATTTGGTTATCATGTGTTTCTTTTCCTTTTGGTTAGGGGTTAGATGGGTTGGTACCGGGAGTGAGACAGTTGTTCTTTTTTCATGGTGAGACAGGGATGACTGAGTGTCGAAAGCACAGCCAGGGTCGGTTTCACTTGCTTGATCTTGGGATACAGATGCAAGGCAGACACCTGGGATCCGCCCGACCTCCGCCGCGGCCTTCACCGATGGGCCGGAGGTGAAACCTGTGGACCGCCTGAAGGCTGCAGACCTGGAGCGTTGGGATGCGGAACACCAGAGCCTTGTTCATCAAGCGAGGTCGGTCGAGAGCCGGCCGAAACCCGTGAAGAACTGAAAAGAGTTCGGTGGGCCTGGTATTTGGCAGTCTAACTTCAAGCCGAAACATAGGTTGTTGGGAATTCGAAGCATATGATTGATGGTGATTGGCATTTGAGGGATTTCGGGACCCAATGCACTCTGACAAACACATTCCAGACAAGTGGATGCCTTGGAAGACTACCTTCCATTTTTCCCTCAACAAACAAGGGGTGACCTCCACTTCCATGTGATGCGTTCGTCGGAGTGCAGGGTGGGAGTTGGACTTTCTGCGACATGTTTTGCAAGATATACCTTTACCTTACACGTCAAGATCCACCAAGGAGCACACACCTTACGCAGGTGTCAGGGGGACATGTTTGCCTCATCTTCCAGTGCGTCGGAGTGTGTGATTCTTTTCCGGTCTCATTGGTGTGTGGGGCTGCCCAAATCCACAGACCCAATGTGGAACGCAGTCTCTCCGCTGATGACGGGCGTGAAGTTGGGATGGCTTTCTTTTTTTTATTTGTTCGGCTCCAGTGGCATAGAACGATTCAAAGACCCTCAACTTGTGGGTTCGACATGAGACACCATGCCGCTGTGCAACAGCGTGAACATGCCTATAAACTGTAAATTACACGATGTGAAGGGGTTGACTTGCACCCCACAGGGGTGGTTGCAGCTCTTGTGGCCTCGAAGTAGCACGATGCGCTCAGACCCCAGGCCAAGTGCACAACACTAAACATCGGGAGACGCCCAACCAATTGGTGTTTTTGGTCTTTGACGTTTCCGGCACACGTCGCATGCAATGGCCACCCTGAGTGAAAAGCGATCTGGGTGGACATGAACAGATCCTCAGGCATGCAAACCAATGGGTTTGGGTCTATTGCCCTTCTTCCGCGGAGTCGAACTGGGAGTGTGCCCCCTATTTCACTCAAAGGTGTTTGGCTCCCTCGGGGCCAAAGGCTGAAGATGCGCGGTTTCAGGTTTCAGAGCTGTTTCTTTCACAGTTTCAGGAGACCCCTTGATTTGCAATAAGAAGATTTGAACCACATGGGCTGGTCAGGTTGAAAAAAGAGTAACATGTTCTTCAGCGATCTGGTGGCCATTGCGCTCTTCACCAGGCATAGATCAGTGCAGTGTGCAGTGTCTCACAGTGTCCCAGGTCGGTGCCACGGTGCCCGGACGAGGTCACCTTCCAGCTGGATCCAGGTCGGGTTGGGCGATGGAAAGGGGCCAAAAGGCGAGAATGGACCGAGCGCCTGATGAGTAGGCGTGGTTGAGCTCAAGCTGAGCTCAGCCCGGACTGGGTCTCCTAAGGTGCCTTTTGTAAAGGTTCTGAAATGGAAGGCATCCAGTTGCCCGACGAAGCTTTCTGGATGTCAGATGCATGGAGTGCAGCTTAGATCATTTTAGATCCACCACTCCTCACCCACTCCTCACCCCCAGTTCAAGCAAGGCGCAGCTAGGCGGTGTGACGCGCACAACAGCGCCCGTGCCCCCTCCAGCTCCAGGCTTGGAAGAGGAGAAGAATGTCCTGGAGGCCATCTATGGCCCGGAGTTCGAAGCTCTGGGCCCCTCTGAGTGGAGGACAGGGCGGAGGGGTGGAGGACAGGTGCCTCACCTAAAGTCCGACCCGGGATGGCAGAGAGTCAGGGGAGCCCGGGTTTTTGTCCGGCGTGTTTTGTCCTACAGAACATGCATAGATCACCAGAGAGGTCAATCTACCAGCCAAACTGCAATTTCCAGCAACTTCTTCAACGAGACCTTTTGATGGTTCCTAAGTGACCCTTAGGTAACTTAGGAGGCTTAAGTGACCTCAAACCAGGTTATCAAAAGGTCACTTTGAAGAACCAGGTTAGTGTCTTTTTGTGCTGTGTGTTTACCTGCACCATCCGAACTCGGGGTGTCCAAATTGAAATTGCATGGTCATTTCATCGTTTCGTGTATGTCGGTCGTTGAGCCAGGCACACACCTTTCGATGTCTTACTGTACCATGCATATTTACATATTTACTGTACCACTATGTATACCATATGTATGCCATATTTACTCTATAATGTACCTTGGGGTATTTTTGAATCGCTTCCGAAGTCGGAGTTGGGACCTGCTCCTCGCAGGGTGGGCTTTCCTTCGCCTCCGGGCTCCGCCGTGCGACTTCTGTTGCCCGCAGCTCGGGCGGTTGGATCCTGAAGGGGCCCCTGTGAGGTCTGAGGTTAAGGTGATTGTTACTACCAGTGGGGGGTGATAACTGATAACTGGTGATAACCTAACCTGTCGTATGATCACTTGACATTCTTTAACTCAGTAAACTGGCCAGGGCCCAGGGGTACCCAGGTGCCCTGGCCAAGGGGGTATTGCAGTCATCCAGTGAGATGAGATCGAGTTCGGGCACCCTTGCAAACGGAAGTCACTGTATCTCACTGCAACACTTAGAACAGTTGGTTGACATTGGTGTGAAAATGCATGGTGCGGAGGATCGGTTCCTTTCCTTGTCGGGGTTGGTTCTGTAACTCCTTTCCGCGTCCTCATCTTCACCCTGGGACAAGATGTGGATTGCAGGCATTTGGCCAATGGTGTGGACATCCGAGACGGTCCAACTACGAAGCTCTTCATGACATGCGTGCTTTACGTGGATCTCTTTGGAGCTCTTCATGGTACAACTGCATGCAACTGCCCTGTATGTGGATTGAGTAATGTTCCTTTAACTCATATATACCTAGATTTGTTTCACTTGACTAAGTATAGGTTCTACTATTCTACTCGTGAGAACCTCGTATGAACCAACATCTCACTGCAGTTCGTGCAGGTGTTCAAAAGACCTTCTGAACCAAGATCATAGGGCAGAATGTCAAGAATGATGCTGGTACACGGAATATGGCAGTGGGTCAACACATGGAGACCCTGGTTGACCACAGAGCGTGAACAGAATAGATCATCAGGGTTTGGAGCTCCAGGTTTTGATCGGCTGCCCTGTGATTTTGTTGGGGTTTCTCTGATGATCATCACTGATCACACGCAAAAGGCAGCTCCTGGTAGCCATGTGCTGGCTAGTTGGACAAACATGATTTGACGTCGTTTTTTGGCTTTGCCTAGGCGGGCTACCCAACTCTTGAGCCACCTGTGCCTATTTTCGATTACGAAGGCCGTGCGGACAAGCACTGTTGGAAGTGGAAACGCGCGGGAAATGCTTGACTTCTATCTTGGTGTGTGAATCTTAGGGGTGTGTATCTCATACCTAGACCACGCGTCCACCATCGATCGCTGCAGAAGAGGATTGAGACTGACGATCTGAGACTGCAGACCTGTGAGATCCCTAGTCACTAGTCGACTCTTCAGCTTCTTCCAAGCATCGCCGGGGTTCTTGATGCACGAAGCATCGCGCATCGCGAAGCAACCTCGCCCCAAGGATGCCGTCTAGGGGGCCTCAAAGTGTGGTTGCAATGCAAGGGCAAGAAGTTACTTCTTCGGAATTTGTGCTGAAGTTTCTTCAGTGGATTTGCCATGTAGACAATGGACAATGGCAATGGTTTGGCTTCATTCCTTCCTCAAAATGTGGATCAAGAAATAAATTGTCCCTCATGGAAATCCTAAAAGTGTTATATAGATACAGCAACCGCGGAACTTGTTCATTTTTGCACCCCGCCCCTCTTCCGCCCCACGACATGCGCCTCCGAAGGGCTCCGCCACGCCATGGCGGAGGCGATCTGCGAG